GTTATAGTATAATTTGGGCAATGCCGGACATTCGGATACTTATGGTCGCTACTGTATAACTTGCAGTTTCATGTGATGTTGATTCTTCACCGACGAAAAGAAAATGCATTATACAGTATTAATTTTTTACACTGCGTCTTCCATTTATATTTCAAGTTCTTTTAGCGAGTGAAAAAAAAAATGAAACATTATTATTATTATATTTTACAGCCAGTGCAAAAATAATATCCTGATAACAGAATGAATACACGAATACTACGAAAACGTAAACTTATCGAAAGAATTGTTCGAATAAAAATGAAATAGAACAAACGGAACAGAACTACGTGTACAAAAGAAGAAGCAACGAAAAATAGAGACGAATACGTATGTGGAAAAAGATGACGATCGAAAGAAACAAACAACAAATGTGAAAAAACTCGAAAGGAATAAGCAAAACAGAACAGATACGAAACTAAAGATCAGAAAAGTACCAGGATAAACTAAGATTAATTGTTCTGAAAGTAGCGAGTTTAACTAAGAAAATAATTTTAAAAAGATAATTACAATTATATGTACAATATATAATTTTACAATTTATAATTTTACAATTTATACAAACATGTGTACATGTATTTACATTAAAAATTGAAAAGTAAATTAACCAATTGTTCGTAGTTTTGGAATTCGAGAGTTTCAATTAATTCTCAGCATTTTTGAATTGTTGAAGGAACTTGTCACGCACTCTTCCTTTTGACCGATTCGGCATAATTGCTGACACTAATTTTAGAATTACATTGATATTGAGTATGTATTTATGATGCAAAAGATATGGTATATATAATATCAGCGCTATAAATAAAGGAATGAATGTAGAGTCAAGAGAGTATGAGTGAGTTGAGTTTAATTCAAAGTATAAATTTTTTGTCGTGGTTATAGTAGTCATAATTTGATATTTGCCACGAAGCATTCTTTCGAGACAAATTCTCTTTTTTATATCTTTTCTTCACATCAATTCAAACATGATTATAATACATAATATTCTGAATGTGTGCTGATATGCTCTTTATCTTCACGATTGATTTGAAAAACAAATTTCTTATACTCATTGACGTAATAGAAAATAAACACGTCCGAAAAAATTCAATAATAACGTCATTAATAATACATTATTATAATTATTATTGATAAATAGATAGATATATAGGGGTCAACCTCATGCTCGATACAATTAATATTATGGAAAAATATATGGACAATAAAAAATATTAACAATTCATTAAACGTTGTCCTTGTTTCCACGTTTGGATTCTTTCAATAAGTGTTGATTCTTACTAGTTTATTAATTGTTAATTATTAGAAACAAATGCACTGAAAAAAATTTTTGTAAAGGGCTAAAATTGAATAAATGTAGGTAAGCTAAAGTAGCATTGATGTATATATTTTATTAAAGTACATGTTATGTTATTATCTAATAATGTAATAGTTAAATACAGAAAAGTCTTCCTGATTTTCTTATTAAATTCTTCAATTATAGTAGATCATTATTAAGCATCGAAAACTTTTCAATTGTCTTGTATAACTTTCGAAATTGTACTTTACGAATGCTTTTTTTTTGTCGTACCTTTAGTTAATACATGTATCGGTACCAAATAAAGTAGAATTGCAAAAGCATATTATTGCTTTCAAAATAAACAAACATGTCAAAACAAAAACTATCATATGAAAAAATACCCGAAAATCGGATCCTGAATCTATCGCTATTGATCATGCATGAAGGCAAATCGTCAGCATCATTATACATGTACAAAAATCGACGCTTACTGCATGATAATATAGAGAAAAAAGTGTTTGTTGTTTCTTCGAGTACATGTAATTGATCGACAATAATACGTAAATTATGAGAGAAACACGTTGAATTAATTCGCTTATTGGGATAACAATCAAGATTTAGCTTACCAAGTTTACTTTACACACGATTCGCTTTAACATAATAATACTTCTCTGCTGTTACTATCTTATTCCGAAATTTGTATGCATAATCATTTTTCATTAGCGATCAATTATCAATCTGTTTAAACGTTTAATTCATTCATTATTCAGATAATGCGGTCAATTTTTGAAATATAGATATTTCAATCAGAAATTTAAGGCAGTTAATCGCTACGAGTCATCAGGAAAATTCGAATCATATGGTGTCTTATAGTTCACATTAGCATCACGTGGTATTTCACCTTGAAAAGTTCACATATCATTACGTGGCAGTTCTATTACTAAAGTACCCGGTGATAAAATAAATACGTACCCGGAGCAAACGATCTTCATAAAGAAGACTATATTATAGTTTTTAGCTTCGGGATCTCTGTATTTAAAATCAAACTAAATTAATTCAAAGTCAGTATTTGAATTATAAATAAAATTTTTAGTGCAACAGAACTTGGTCCCACTCAAACTAATTTTCTTTGCTTCTTATTGAGATTAATTATACATGTATCCTAAATTCCAAAACCTTCTTTTGTAATTAATTCTATTTTCCTAAATTCTTTATAGCAATTCACTCAAGAATATACTACAAAACCTTCTTTAGCAAATAATAATATTTACTAAATTCTTCATAAGTAATCCACGCAAGAAATGTACTAAATCTATAAATTTCAAGTTGAGCTTCTTCAATAATCTTATCTATTTTGCTATTTTTGAGAGCTACAAGCAGGATAATCTGATAATAAATATTACATTTTCATAAGAATTTGGCTGATGCTCCTCTTTATGATTTAATATAAAATTGATATGGAGAAAAACTTCCTTTGTACATATAGTCCATAATTTCATATTTTTAACCATTAATCTATTTTCTATAACAGCTTGGACAATCTCCTTTAGTTTTTGCTATTTTAAAATAAATATTATTATTAGATTAAAATTAAAAATCCAGGAGCTGTCAATTGTAAACAGTTTTTTTAGAAAACTTTTATTTTTGTTGCAAAGATACAATAACAAACTTATACTTAACATCGAAATCTCAAACTATTATACCAATTCCAAACTCAGTTCCATTTAATATTTCAATGATTTTATAAATAATTTGATTTAAATAAGATGTATAAATTATATATTATGTTTGTAAATTCTCGTTCTAAGAGAAGAAGCAGAATAAAAGCGATAAATTCTAAAAAGGAATCAAATTATTTACTGTATTTCACTCCAGCTATTTACATTTTTAGTAAATTTGCAAGATAATTATGGTTGTTTCAACGTATTTTTATGGACAAGAGCTGGATTGCAACTTTTTCAGATTGAGTAGCGTATTCATGAAGATATTTCACAGTCAGATATGGAAAAACACAATGCATATGTCCTTAATTAATTTACAAGTTCAATACTTGTTCTTACAAAGATATTACAATGATCCGGTATCAAATGCTACTGGTTCATTTACTGAAACAATATCAGAGACTAAACTTAAAATTCTGATCTTAATTTTTACTTGAAATTTTCTACTGTTTTTTGTTGTAAATTCACAAATGAAAGAATTTAAGAAGTGTGACTTCAAACAATTGTAATTATTGTTATTGAAACTTAAATAGATATAAGTTTAGTATTGCGTGTTATAATGCATTTTTGCATGTTACGACACGTTTAACTGTCATAATTCTTTGTTATTTATTATAACCGATCGTAATATTACAACTTTAATTTATAAAATAGGTTTACCACCAGAAAAATTCAGTTTATCAAGTTGGATTTACTATAATTGTTTATCGTTATAGCGATAGGAATTTACTAATCCCCCAAGTTCTGATTGGTTGAGGATATTAAAGGTTAGTTTAGCGTTAGGATTAAGGTTAGTGTTAGAACTGGAGGAAGAATTATATGTAAAATTGTCTTCCCGACATTTTTTATTAGTGCTTCAAGCCAGGTTTACCCATTCGTTTTCCGTATTTTTCACATTATTCGCCTTTTTAATTTTCTTGTGTCGGATTTATTTTGCCGGGTTGATAAAAATTTATGCATCTTTATTGGTTGGTTTAGAAGACCCGGTGTGCAGTCAACCAATCAGCGATGGAAATTACTTATATCCAATCAGAACTTGGGGAAATTAGTAAATCTCGCTAAAGCTTGGTGAACATGTGATGCGTGTTTATCAGTGTTAAAAGTTGATTTATTAGCATTATGGTTAGGGTTAAGGTTAGAGTGGAGAGCTAGTATGTATGTAAAATTGCCTCCCCGACGTTTTTAATTAATGCTTCAAGATAGATTAAAGCATACAGTTTCCATATTTTTCATTTTTTACGTTCGTGCTTCGGATTTGTTTTCCGGGTTGATCGGATCCACCATGCCCTGTTTATATCCAAGTTTGTTATACTAAATATTAAGTCTTTAATTGCACGCAAAATCCACGGAAATTGTTAGTCTAATAGCTTCGGCTTGACTGTGAAATCCACTCCCTCTTACTCTTACTATTAAGTCGTAGTCTTTTTCTTTGGTAAGAAATGAATCACAAGCATTGTACATACAAGCACGGGAAACGTGACAGATTCCATATACATAAACTCGTTTTTGGTAGGTTTTTAGCACGGAACCCCATGCGTAAGTACGGACTGTTGAATTTGTGCCACTTCCGTGTTAAAAAACCACGCCGAAACGTGTTTATGTATACCAAAGTTGTCGCGTTTCCCGTGCTTGTACGTACCATGTTGTGCCATTTCGTACTATTCCTTGCAATTTCCGTGGAATTTACGTGCTTACTTTTTTTATAGGGAAAGGAATAAGAGGATAGAAGAATTCCATAAAAAAAACTTTGGGTAACAAACTAACGCATTTCAAATTACATCATTTTACTTAATAAACTTTACCCTTTTTACCTGCCTGTATAATAGTTTTATTGTTCTAGAAATAGATTGTTATTGATAATTTTATATTATTAATTGATATCATTGAAATTTATTAATTATAATACAATAGAAAAGGGAGAATGGAACAAAAGAAAAATCCGATATAATTGAAAGAGAAAAAGGAAATCACAAATAATACATTAAGATTCTCATATCAGATCCCTGAAAAGTCGCATCAATAACATTATGCACATATTCAAGCGGCAACTTATCTAAGCCTGTTCCAATTCTAGGAATACTCAAATTCTTGACTCCCATCTCCTCACACACAACTCTTAGGTCATTTAATGCACGCTCGAAATTCGCTTTAGATGGTTTATGAAAATATTTTTCCTTGGTGATAATGTAAAATATATATCGACCATCACGTTCAAGATACGCGACTTGTCCAACTTTTTTATTTTGTTCTTTCAATTCTTGGAGACCTCGAAATTTTTTTTTAAAGATATCAGCGATTCCTTTTCCCATACGAAGATCCTCGGAAATACAGTGTGCAAGCGAATCTCCAGGTGGGTGATCGGTGAAAAGATCTCCTTGAATTTCTGTAAAGTTAAATGTGTCGGATGACTCCATTTTGCTATGAAAGGAATACCGATATCGTTGAATTTTTCGAAGTGAATGAATGTAAATCGTGGGTAATTGTGGCAATTTATACATGTGCATGCTTCCAATTTGAATCATCTGACAAACAATTTTTGATTAGTTGGGTATATCGATATCGATATATAACGATAAGATGTTGTGTACATGTATTTTACGTATTTGGTAAATTATCATCTGATACCGATACGCATGACCTGTTAGCGCTAGCATTAGCGTTAGCGTTAAATCGATTTTAGGTATCACTTTTATTTGATCAATCAAATCCTTTAATAATGAAAGTCAAACTTCTCTAAATTATTGACTAAAAGAAGTAAACAATCATTTTACTTTTAGAATGTTAATTTATTTGAGCGAGTGTGAAGCTGATTAGACCCGTTTTATAAAACGAGCTTCAACTAATTGAGTTCAATAAACTCGTTTACATAAACGTACTTTCAAATACGCTATATGATCACAAAATTAACGATAACGGGGGGAATTCTGATTTTTCTATTATTTAATAAACATATTTAAGAGTAATAGTACAAATAATCGAGTGAATGAATAAATTAGCAATTCTATAAAAAAGACATGCATTCAAACAACAATCATCGAAAAAAAACGTGTCGAAGAAACAATCAACTCTTTTCTCTATATTATATACGATAATAGAAAGTGGGCTGTCTTTTGTCTAATAAATATGCAATGAACGTCGATAATGATGCTAGGTGGCTTTCTTACATGCATGAATGATAGATATTTGAGAACTTTCGATGCTTTGTCCGTTTTCGCGTGTTTGCTTATGTTTGAAAACTTTAAAAACAACAATATGCTTTAATTGTATGATGTTCTTGGTTATAGTTAGCGCTAAATTTGGGATTTAATATCGGTATATGACGATGATGTACAAACAAACAAGTCCCATCGTAAAAAGAGAACTTTAATTATCTTATTTATGCACTACATTTTCAGACAATCAAAATAATAATATGGTATTAAATTATGCAAGACTGCAAAGACTGTTGATAATTGATAAGAATAAAATGGAAAAGACTTGAACTTGTATCAATATTAACAAAATTTTGAATTCAAAATAACTAGATTATGCAGTAGTATAATATGCAAATGCGATACATTTGTTCATAATAAAAACAATAGATGTAGCTCTTGCTCAAAATAGCAAAAAAATTTTCAAATGCATTTGTTTCTAACACTAATAACGATAACTAACAAAACTCATATATAATAGTAATATACATGTATATTGACCACGACAATTACGTATGGATTACCTTGATTTTTCTAATAACGATAACGATAACAATTCTAACAATGCATATTTGTGGCGTTTTATTGAATTTTTTCGGATCGCTATGTATTTTCTTTTGACTTGTTGCTTTATCTATTGTTATAGGCGCGAATAAAAAAAGATATAAAGACATTATTTTCGAAAAAATTATACTCATCAAAATTCACAAAATCAAATTATTGGAACTACAACTGCTACAACAAATTCATATGACAGGATGAATGTGTCTATACACATGCTCTACTTTCATCCTTTTTTTATAATGCTTAAAATTCAGCATGAATTCGAAAATATTAAACTCAGTGGTCGCAAATTTTAAGACTGTTTAACAAGCTTCCAAAGACACTCAAAATTCAAAAATAAAGAACATTTGGTTAATGCCATTTTTTGAATTTTCATTGTAAATATCTTGTATAAAAAAGCATCTAGAAAAGTATTTATATTTATTTGTATAATATAATTTGTAAATAGCCTTCGAATACCTATCCCACTCTTACGTTATGGTTCTTTATTTTTTATGTTTCGTTCTATATTTTTTATCAATTTAGCTTTTCTTTCGATTTTCATGTACGTATCAATTTCTCTTAACGTTTCGTTCGATTAATCAATCTCTCTCCACAATTTCATTTTTATTTCTTCACTTAAATCGTTCTGTTTGTTCTGTTCCGTTTTGTTCTATATTGTTTCTTCGGTAATTACTTTCGTTTTGCTATAGTTGTGTCTTGCTAAAAAAAATTCTATTATCGATACAACTTTACGTTCGCTGTCAAAAATGATCTAATAAATGTTTTCAAATTCTTTTCCGTTATCGAAATTCTGAACGGAAAACAAATAACAAATCATATAATATAAGTGCCCTAGTCATGGCGAAAAAAAATGTTAGGATCACCTGATTTCAGACTATCCGAACAATCTGGACTCTGTCCGATGTCTACTACAGTTAGAGTTATTTATACCAATATATCAAGAACGTGAAACCTAATTATAAGGCGTCAAAAGTTTCGTCCTTTGAGATCAATATAAAAAAAGATTATTATAAAGAGACCTGATTGCACTTATAACTATCGTTTATCGTGTGTCACTGGTTCTTGACATCACCAAAAGTTTCATTAAGACTTGAGATCAATATAAAAAGGGATTTTTATAAAGAGACCTGATTGCACATAACTATCGTTTATCGTGTGTCATTGGTTCTTGACATCACCAAAAACTACAATTAAAATTGATCAAACACTGACAAGTTATTTGATACTTATATATATCTCTCTCAAAAACTAATAAAAATTCATTCACATAAAGTTCTGATTAAAATTTTAGACCAACTTAAATTTGTTGCCTAGGTCCTTCGTTGTCATTATTATAAAAATCAATTACCTATAGAATATTCTAATAAAATCGTAATATACAATAAGTAATTCAAATACGATTTTTAAAAAGCACCAAATATGATAAGATTTATTTAACACATTTTGAACTGTAAATGAAATTTTATTTAAACAACAAAATACAAAATAAACCTATTTGTATCATATTTTATTTAACATAAACAAATAATGAATATTATATTGAAAATTATATACAAAATATAAATACAATATGACAAAAAATAAAGTTATTTATTTGATCAATTTTGCTTATAATAAAAATATTTAAATAATACATTAAATTAATGTGTTTATACCAATACATGTGTATAATTATAAGTATATTATTTTATTTTTTTGATTTGATTGTTCATATCCTAGAATTTTGATACCAATTTATGCTATATTTAACATCAATATAGAGAATAATAATTTATAAATAAAAGTTTTTTACAAATAATAGATAATTTTTTTAAGTTGATTTTGATATTAAAAATAATTAAAGAATTTCATCAAAAACATACTTGTAAATTCTTTTTTTTTTTGACAAAATTCTTTTCTAAAATAAAATATTTAATTTATTTGAAAAATAAATTATTAAATTATTACATATAAAAATTTGTTGAAACTATTTAAACCTTCATTACAGAATACAAATTTTAATCAAATAACTTTAAATCCTAAAATACAACCATTTTTCTATAATATAAAAAATTAAATGTATAATATAAAAATTAAATCAAAAATTAAATGCAAAATATAATGAAATATATGAATATACTAAAAATTTAATATTATAAAAAAATACAAGTATTTGTTTGATTAAATTTTGTTTATTAAATAAAAGTACTTGAATAAATATATAAAATAGAATTTTGATACCAATTTTATTCTTTCCTATATTTAGAAAAATTTCAAATAAAAAGTTTATTACAATACTTATAAACTTTTTGAAGTTAATTTACATTAAAAAAAAACTTAAGAATAACTTCGTTAAACACTGAAAGAGTTCTTTTAAAATTTATACAAATTTTGAAAATAAAAGTTTATAAATAATACAAAAGCAAACTTATTATTGATGGGTAAATAATTGGTTTGGACAAAATTAAACATATAACTTATTTGAGATGTTAAATTATTGAAATGTAAATTCCAAAATACAAATTTTGATCGAATTTTATTACTGTGAATATTTTTTATAAAGTACAACGTATTCTACTTTCTTTTTCATACAATATATATATATATATATATATATATAAAATACAATAAATAAAAATTAACAATTCTACTTTCTTTTTCATACAAAATATAAATAAAATACAACATATATATACATATATATGCATATAAAATACAATTAACAATAATACCATATAATTTAAAGGTTATAAGAAATATATTCAAGGTAAATCTATCATTATCGCTGTATCTGATTTATTTTCTTTAAACGAAATTTTGTAAATACCGATACATGTACAGTACCCAAAAAAGTATCGCCCGATTTTTTTAAAAATGAAATTTTCGATTTATTTCATTTCTGCTTTATATACAACTAATACATTACCCACCCTCTATATGGCTTCAATATCACCTCGATTCCTTACGGCATCGAGCTCACATCCTACTC